AATTTTAAAGAAAACATGTCAATTGAAATAAAGATTAGAAAAAGTTTATTTCAAAACAGTGACTGAAATGTGGAACTTAGTCCATAGATTCCGTTAAGTGAATTGCATAGTTATGTAAGGAGAATGGTAAAACAATGAAATTGAACAAGATGGTTCATCAAAAATCAACGTCATTGCATACTGTTTATGTTAGAACATTTTAACTATTCTTAAATTAACTATGGCAATGTATTCACTTTTGATACCTATGCACCTCAAAAGTTTGGAATGTCTAAACATTGATAAATTCAAACCTTTAAGTGGCTTGTTTAAATTATATTGTCTCAACAATTTTATATAATTTTTAAAATATTTATTGCTGAACTTAATTGACAACAATAAACAATATTGTCATAACAAACGCATCATCTCTCAACTCTTCCACTGTAATGTCAATACTGCTAGTGTGAAATCCAGTACTGGATAAACAAGTTTGTATCTGCTCCCTAGACACCAACTCCACCCCTTTCCCTAACCACTGTCTACAACTGATCCACATTGCCCAAATACACGGCACTGTAATTGACCCAGAAATCAGCTTCCAATCGTCTATCTGCTCCATCACCAAAAACAGCCACTTGTACCTCCAGAACATTCCATCTTCTTCAGAGAGTCAGCACAGACAAGACAGCTATCCTAACGTTTACTCCCTATCCCACCCACCTCCCTATTTTCTGCATATAAACTGACGTTTTCGCAGCCACCATCAGTTCTGAGGAAGGGTCACCAGACCCGAAACGTTAACTCTGTTTTCTCCTCCACAGACGCTGCCAGACTTGCTGAGCTTTTCCTGCAACTTTGTTTTTGTTGTTGTTGTTGTTTGTGTTTGACATGACAGCTAAATGATTGCCTTTTGTGCTGTAACTATTTTATGATTCTGCTCCTGCCTCACTTGGTGCTGAAACCCATCACTTGTTACCTTTAGACTTGAATATTTCAATGTTCCGATGACTAGTTTTCCCCCTTTTACCTGCTATAAATAAGATAATTCAAAGCTTTTCTGCCTTATTCTAACTCCCACTAAGTCTTGTTCACCAACATGTTTGTTGACCTATATGAATGCAAGGACCAAAAATGACTCATTTAAAAATGTCATAGTAGGAACTGCAGATGCTGGAGAATCTGAGATAACAAAGTGTAGAGCTAGATGAACACAGCAGGCCCGAAACGTCAGCTTTCCTGCTCCTCTGATGCTGCTTGGCCTGCTGTGTTCATCCAGCTCTACACCTTGTTATCTCATTTAAAAATGTCATCCTCGTTTTCATATTCCTTCACAATTCCACCTGTTCTATATCTGTAACCTCCTACAGTCCTGCAACAAGATCCCTCAGTTTTTATCATTCCATAACCACAACCCATTAGTTCTGAAAGTCCATCCAAAAATATCTCCTCAATACCCTAGACCACAAGACTAAAATACAGGAGCAGAATTAGGCCATTCAGCCCATCAGGTCTGCTCCATCACTCGATCAAGGTTGAGATGTTTTGCAACCCCATCCTTCTGGCTTTGCCCCAACCCTCGATCCCCTTAAATCAAGAACCTATCTCTGTCTTAAATACATTCAATGATTTGGTCTCCACAGCCTTCAAGGCCAATGAGTTCCACAGATTCACCAACCTCTTTGATCAAGTTTTTGGTCATCTGTCTTAACATCACATTATGTGACTTATGTCGAATTTCCTGAATCACCTAAAGACAGTTGTCTATGCTGAAGCATGACAAAAATGCAAGTCTGCTCTTGAAACAATTAAGAATGCCACTCTTCCCATTTAAAATAATTTGACAGAAGTCAATTCTTATGTGCTGGATTTGCATTGAAGAAAATATTTACATAACTATTAAAGGTCAAACTTTTATAGAAGGGATTTTTTTTAAAAGGATAAAAAAATACTTCTGGAGTTTCAATATCGTTTAGGCCCCAAGGAGGCGTTTACCAACAAAACAGAATGCATCCAATGATACTCATTGGTAGGAATTATTTCAATCTTCAAGTTTTACCTAAATTTGAGTAAGATGACGATTAGATTACGAAATACAACTACATGAGGAAACGGTATGGATTTTTTTGTAAAACCAGGTCTTTGGATGGCTATCAACATCAACTTCTCCACAATCCGCAAGCACACCTTCACCCTCAGGCCACCAAAAAAACTCCACTGATTTCCAAGAAGCAGCTACCGTAAAAATGCCTGTAATAAACTCTGGGTGTTATCTCTTGGCCCAGTCTACATCAAAATTGAAGTACCATTCGGTATACCACTACTGGAATATTTTAGTTTGGCTGCTCGATCAATTTAAGTCCTTCATCACCCGAAGTTCAGAAATGGAAACGAAAGCAAACACACTGATGGAACAAGACGTTTATTCGGAACCTCTCGAGATGTTTGCCGTCATCCGCACCCTATAGATTGACGACGTTTCCCCATGAATTTTGAAAGATATTTTAAGCAAATGCAGACGCTGTACTAAAATACCAAATAAGACCGTCTCCAAACTAGCGAAAAAAAACTCACTTCGCCCAACAACGTCCACCCCACAGCTCCCTAAACCGGAGTAGGCTCCCGAAGGACGCAGTGGGCCGTTGTACCGGGTACCGATTCCGGGATTTTAACCCGATCACAATCGCACTCCGGGCCCAACGTTAAGCCTCATTCAGCAGGCTCCGAGCAGCGACAACCACACATGCTTCACTCAGTCCCGCGCCCGGCACCCCCATTGGCCTATTCACATCACTCCGCAGCTTCGAACTGACCTAGACCATCACTACTCGTCGATACAAACGTCAATCATGTACAGGTCCCGCCCCATCCACTCGCCGTTAACAGGCTAGGTTGCGCGGCAGCCGCTCTCTGACGGCTTTATGTTGGTGCGCACGCGTTATGTGGTGTAGGGCTGGTGGGATCCACTATCTACTCGAGTTCCCGGATTGTGGCCCAGCCAATGGTGGCCGAGCTTTCAGGTAAAAATCAGCACAAAGATTGGGAGAGGAGTAATTGAGATTGAAGTCCCAGAACTCAAGAGGGAAGGAATGACTAACCGCTACGCGGGGTATGGTGCCTGCTGGGGGGAGTTATAGCTGGAATAGTTCGTGGATCTTTCTCGGCCTCTTTTAAAAAAAAATGGCGCTCCCATCACGTCAGTACCTTTGAGAAATCGGTGCGTTCCGGCGGCTCGAACTGACGAGGCTGCGGTCACTGGGCAGAGCATTCGCCTGTTGGGGGCAGAGCAGCCCCCAGCACATCCCGCTTGGACTTCCACTGCGCGCCGTAGCAACGAGCCACGCACTCGGTGTCCCAGGTTAAATAAAGCTTCGGCTGTCTCCGTGTTCGTGCCCCCACTCCCCAACCCTTTCCATCTGTCTGCAGCCGAGCTGGAGGATCAGTAGATGTATCGGCCCTGATACCTGTGTGAAAGGACAGCTGTTAGTCCTGCCCTTGTACTAGAAGCATTCGAAGTTTGAATATGAGTGCGGCTGCCTCCACGATTAAAGTGTGATAACTGTGATTACAGAGGGTCCGCAGCGAAGTGGGAACAGAAAACACAACCACTTATCCAAGTGTGCCCGAGAGCCGACATCCCAGCCAATGAGCTACATTTTGTTTCTGTTACCCGTTGAGTTGTCTATTTGTGCGAAGTGATGGATAAACTCAATTAATTTTTTTTTTGAAGGCCTATATTTCGGAATTAACATCGTGCGACTATGACCCGCTGAAAGGGTACAGAAAGAAAGGAAGCCACTTGGCCCATCGTGTCACTTGTGTTACTACTCTCCTGCCTTTTCCCCATAACCCTACCAATCTTCCATTTTCTGATCATTTTATGCTATTACTGAATCTCCCACCACTGTACTATCATAGCAAATTTGGGTAATAATAGTACTACAGTAATTCGGTTTGCATATAGGCTGGGTGACCCTGACTAGTACTAAAATTGTGGAGGAAGCATTCTTGGAATGTATACAAGACTTTTTTGAATAGCAGTGTTTAGCAACCAATGAGAGAATGGGCTAATTTTGATCTAATACTGTTCAGTTAAACAGGGCTAATTAATTAATTAATTCCATTGTAAATGAGCCTTTATGAAGCAGAGACCATACAATTGTAGACTTTGAGGTTGTAGACATGCTCGCCAAGCTGCTGGGTTTGATTGCAAACATTTTGTCACTCTGCTAGGTAACATCATCAGTGCACTTCTGGTGAAGTAGATTTTTATGGCAAGTTTGAACGTGATGTGTTCAATCAGTTATTGAGGGCTTGCGGAGACAAGGGCTGAGTCGTTTGATAGTTGAATTAGTAATCCAGAGACCCAAGTAATGTTTTTGGGACCCAGGTTTGAATCTTCCCTGAGCAGATAAATGTTAATTCAGTTTTAAAAATCTGGATTTAGAAGCCATTGTCGTAAAACCCATCTGGTTCACTTTAGGGAAAGAAAACTACCATCCTTCCCTCAGATAGTAGGAACTGTAGATGCTGGAAAATCTGAGACAACAAGGTGCAGAGCTGGATGAACACAGCAGGCCAAGCAGCATCAAAGGAGCAGTAAGGCTGACGTTTCGGGCCTAGACCCTTGATGGGGGTCTAGGCCCGAAACATCCTTCTCTGATCTGGCCTACACATGACTCCAGACCCACAGCAATGTGGTTGACTCTTACCTGCCTTCGGAAGTGGTCTAGCAAGCTTGAAAAAAAAGAAGTAAAGTCCTCCTCACCAATTCTTGACATAGTTATATGCATGAAATCACATCTTGTAAGCAATATCTCAAACTGCAACATCACCAAACCAACAGGAAAGACCCAACAGAAGTAGTAGCACACTGGTACACAGTCAGAAGGAACTTATGCCAGGAGTCTTCAACAGTGACTCGAGACCCCAGGAGGTGTCATGGCTTCAGGTCAAACGTGGGCAAGGAACCCTCCTGCTGATTACTAGGAGCAGCATCAGGCAAACCTAAAACTGAAGTGCCCCCCAGCTGAAGGTACAAAGTAGGACAACATGCATGGGAAATTCCATAAACAGGAAGTGATAAGCAGAGCTAAGCAGTTCCATAATCAGTGAATCAGATCTAAGCATGCAGTCCTGCAGCATCTGGTTGTGAATGGTAGTAGACAATTAAACAACTCACTGGAGGAGGTGCCTGCACAAACATCCCATTACCATCCACAATAATAGGGAAGCATAGCAGATCAGTGCAAAAGATAAGCTGCAACATTTGCAACAATCTTCGGCCAGAAATGCCAAGTGGATGAATCATCCTGGCCCCCTTCAGAGGTCCCTGACATCACAGATTCCAGTCTTCAACCAATTTGATTCACTTCATTGATATCAGGAAACAGCTAGAGGCACAGGATACTCCAAAGACTGTGGACCTTGTCAACATTCTGGCAATAGGACTGAAGACTTGTGCTCTAGAGCTTGCTGCAATCATAGCCAAGCTGTTCTTGGTATAGCTACATCTACCCAGCAATGTGGAAAATTGCCCAGATGTGTCCAGTGCACAAAAAGCATGATAAATCCAACCTGACAAATACTACCTCATCAGTCTAGTCTGGATCATCAGGAAAGTGATAGAATGTGCAATCACAAGTGCTATCAAGCAGTACCTCCTTAGTAATAGCCTTTTCACTGACACTCAGCTTAGGTTCCAGCAGGCCCATTCAGCTCTTGACCTCATTACAACCTTGGTCCAAACATAGACAAAGGAGCTGAATTCCAGAGATGAAATGAGAGTGGTTGCGTATGACCAAGTGTGGCATCAAATAGCCCTAGCAAAACGAGTCTGTGGGAATTTGGGGAAGACTCTTTGGTTGGAGTCATACCTGGCACAAAGAAAGATGATTGTGGTAGCTCAAAATCCATCATTTCAGTTCCAGGACATCCTTTCAGGAGTTCCTTAATGTAGTGCCCTTGACCCAACCATCTTCAGTTGATTCATCAATGATCTTCCCTCCATCATCAGGTCAGAAGCAGGGATGTTTGCTGATGACTGCACAATATATGGCACCATTTGCGATTTCTCTGAAATTGAAGCAGTTTGTGTCCAAATGCAGCAAGACCTGGACAATATCCAGGTTTGGGCTGACAAGCGGCAAGTAACATTTTGGGATACGAAAAGCCAGGTAAAGACCATCTCCAACAAAAGAGAATCTAACCATTGCCCCATGACTTTTAATGACATTACCATCACTAAATTGACCAAGGCTCCTTAGCGCCTTTGAAACCCATGACTAAGTCCACCTAGAAGGAGAGTGCAGATGCATGGGAACACTACCACATGCAAGTCCCCTCCAAGCCACTTACCATTCTGACTTGGAAATATATTGCTGTTCCTTCACTGTGGATAGGTCAAAATCCTGGAATTCCCTCCTTAAGGGCATTGTGGATCAACCCGCACTTGGACTGCAGCAGTTCAGAAAGGCAGCTCACCGTCACGTTCTGGAGGGTACCGAGGGATGAGCAGTAAATGGTGGCCAGCCAGCAATGCCCACATCCATGAGTGAATTTAAAAAAAATAAAAGCCCCTGCTATCAACAACCTGGGAATTACCATTGACCAGAACTGAACTAGCCATATAAGTACTGTGGCTACAAGAACAAGTCAAAGGCTAGGAATCTTGCAGCATCTAACTCACCTGACTCTCAAAGCCGGTTCCGTCTCTATAAAGCACAAGTCAGGAGTGTGATGGAATACTCTACATTTGCCTGGATGAGTGCAGCTCCAAAAACACTTGAAGATTGATCCCGTTCAGGACAAAGCAGTCCACTTGTTCGCTAACAATCCACAAGCATTCTCTCCCTTCACTAACAAAGCTCAGTTGTGGTAGTGTTTGCCATCTACTTTGTGCACTGCAGAAATTCTCCATGCCCCTTGGATGGCACCTTCCAAATCCATTACCCCTATCGTCTAGAAGGTCAACAGCAGCAGATAATTAGAAACTCCACCACCTGCAAATTTCCTTGCAACCGACTCCCCACCCAGATTTGGAAATATATCACTGTTCCTTCAGCACTGCTGTATCAAAATCCTGGAACTGCAGCCAGTGGACTCCAGCAGTTCAAGAAGGCAGCTCACCATCGCCTTATCATGGGAAACTAGGGTTGGTAATAAATGTTGGCCCAGCCAGTGACGCCCACATCTCGTGAATGAATTAAAGAAAAACTAAATGAAACTATGAGGATCAGGTTAGGAAACTGTTAAAAGGAATAGCTAACATTTTTTTAAAAAAGTGATATATAAATTACAACAAAAATGCACAAAAACCCAACAAATGAAGCCTTCCAAAACGCACATAAACGGAAATTGCTGGAAAAACTCAGCAAATCTGGTAGAATTTGTGGAGAGAAAACAGAGTCAATATTTTGAGTCAAAATAGATGCCACCATACCAACTGAGTTTCTCCAGCAATTTCCATTTTTGTTTGTTTCAGATCTCCAGCATCTATGGTTTTCTGTTTTATTTTTTGAAGCGAAGTCTTCCAACTTGTGGCCAGTAGATTATATGACAGAGATGTGTAAAGTTGCCAAATATGGGGAGCGAGAGGACTTGTTGTATTTTGGAAGCCTGCATTGGAAAAGTAAGAATATGTTGTAAGAAAAAGAAAATGGAATAAGTAAACTAATAAGAAACATGAAAAAGAACTAAAATTTTCTGCGAACATTTAAAAAGGAAAAGTTTAAAAAGGTAGATTGCAAGCATGTCAGGAGACTTTATAATGGATTAGAAAATGGCAGAGAAACTGAACAACTGTCTGTTGGCATAGAGAAAAATATGAAAAACCTCCCAGAAGTAGCAGAGAATCTATGGAGTTGTATAAATAAGGAACTTCAAGGTGTTAAAGAAAGAGTACTGGAGAAATTAATCGAATTTAAATAGCTTCGTCCTCTAGAATCTGCATCCCAGAGTGTTATTACATGTGGCTGGAGTAGTAGTGGATGAGTGGTGGTCTTTCAATATTTTACGGACTCTGAAATGATTTCAAAAGATTTGAAGGTGGCAAGTGTAACCCCACTATATAAGAGAGAAGACACAGAGTAAAAACTGAGAAGCAGAGAATTGTTTGCCTAACATCAGTCATAGGAAAAATTCTGGAATTCATAAACGGGCTGTGTTAACAGGGCACTTAGAAAATAAAGGGTTAACAAGTTGTAGAGCTGGATGAACACAGCAGTCCAAGCAGCATCAGAGGAGCAGGAAAGCTGACGTTTCGGGCCTAGAAGGGTCT